GTCTCCCATTCCTTGTGTGCACACACAGTTGCCTAACACCCAAGGGGCATAGGAAGAAAATGTGGGTTAAGGGTATTGGTTTATTTTTAATTTATTATGTGTTTTCTTCTGAACTAAGATTTGCAGTGGAAGCCTTGTGCTTCCTAGTTCAGTTAATAGCTCTCCTCTGGTCTTTCCCTTCACAATGAAAGCTTCATAAATCCTCACATTGCAATAGAAGTTTTCCAGTTGCAGATGATGACAGTTAGCAAAGTGTTCACGTTTCCCTAGCAAATTGTGTTAAATTAGGCTCTGTGAAGGAGAGAAGAGCTATATTAATGTTCTTAATGTTGTATCTTCATCTTTGTGGTTGTTAACATCATATTTACTCAGTGATTTCATGGAGTTAATATTCTGAACTCTTAAAATGGGTGAAAACCAGAGGGGTAGATGGAGTAAGAGGGGATGCTTTTGCTGAATGCGGACTTGAGAGTGCACTGGTGACAATTGGGTGTCTGCTTGAGTAACAACAAGGAATAAACTCACTAACCATGCCATTCTTTACACTGATCTGTTCTTGTTTTATTCTCCATAGTCTATTCATATTCTACTATAGCAGCTATATATCAGTGAACACTAGGAAATTAAATACATAAAGGCTTTTTCTTTTCTTTTTTGTAGTTTCTACTAAATGTGTACTTGCACTGTTGACCTGCTTTACATGTTACAAACAATTTGGACTCATGTAGCCAAACTTTGCAGATTGACCAGGGACTTGGATCATCTGTGCACCTCCTGAGTGCATCATTCCCATCCAGCTGGATGGATGATAGAACCAGGGTTTTGTGCCTCCTGTCCGACTGGGATGTGGCTATTCTTCATCCTTCCCAGACCCCTTTGCAACCTGACTTTCTGATTACTTCAGATTTACTGCTGTTGTTGCTTCAGTTTGAGAATCATTTCATTAACTCAGTGAAGGAGGATCAAAGGAAGATTTAGGATTTATTAATGTATATTTCTTAGGTTTGCTGTATTTTAGCCTGCTCTGGGTTTTGCTGTGATTAGAACCACAACAGTGTTGGCTACTCAGAATTTCCCTTGGGACCATCAAGTTTTGCCTGGAGCCAGGGTGAAAGCTCTACGGTACCCGTGCAAACTCTGCACAGCCCTTCCAGTTTGCAGAAAAAAAGCAACGTTGTTCTTATGTTGCTATGCAAGAGATAACCAGAAAGCTGGTTAAAAAACAGAGTCTCAGTCTTGTGAGAAATTTTCTCATCTTTATATTTGCATTTGTTCTGCATCAGAATAAACCCAAATATTTTTGATATTTCAATCAGAGTGACATTCTTAAATATATTTTTCAGTATTTTATTTGTTTTCTGTCTAGGTTTTTAAGTGTTTAATATTGTTGTTTCCTTTTCTCACAACACAGAAGTATTGCATGACTTGGCTTGTCTTTAAAATAGCTTATTTCAAAATAATTCAGGACAGCTGCTTTCAAGTGATTGAGTCATCCCATCTTCTGGATTAGAATCTCTTGTTTGTTTTGTAATGAGATGGTTCAACACTTGGAAGAAGAAAATCAGATAAGCACTCAGCATACCAACTAGAAGAGCAGGTGGTTTGCTCAGAGTCCTTCTTATTCCAGGAAAGAGATGTATTTCTTCCCCAGATGTGTTTCTGTGCTTTTACTCCAGAGTTAGAAATTTCCATAGTTTCTTGTTGAATTTTTTTCAGTGTCCGATTCCCTGAAATTTCTCTTGCTTCAGAAATTCTAGTTCAAATCAAGTAAGAAGGTGGCAACTTCTCAGTGTCTTCTTTGCACCCGATTATAATTTGATATATGATGCATTTATACATGAAAGCCAACATAAAATTCATACATTACAGCACCTTTTCTTTCTGTAAGAGAAACTCTTCTGCCACAGAGGCAGAAACACAAATGCATTTGGTGTGGCACTTCCCAGGTATTGCAGTAAGGATGTGCTTCTAAGCAACATGATCTGGTTGAAGATGTCCCTGCTCACTGCAGAGGGTTTAACTGTATGCGCTTTGAAAGTCCCTTCCAACCCAGACTGCTTTTTGATTCTATGAAATAGCAGCAACTTCAGTAACTGGAGATGATCCTGGCTATGAGGAATGCAGAGCTGGATGGGCAGCCTGTGGGCTCAGCAGTGTGCTGGATGTGTCCCGGGTCAGGAGGGAGCAGGCAGCCAGCACTGCACAGGACTCCTCTGACAAGGAGAGATGTAGTTGTACCTAGAACTGCCTTGAACACTGCCAGGGATGGGGCAGCCACAGCTTCTCTGGGCACCCTGTGCCAGCGCCTCAGCACCCTCACAGGGAAGAGCCTAAGAGCTCATCTCAGTCTCCCCTCGGGCAGGTTCAAGCCATTCCCCTTGGCCTGTCCCTACAGGCCCTTGTCCCAAGCCCCTCTCCAGGTTTCCTGCAGCCCCTTTAGGCACTGGAGCTGCTCTAAGGTCTCCCCTTCAGGAGCCTTCTCTTCTCCAGGTAGTATTTTGCATTATCATTCTTCTGTTCTCTGTGTGGCATTCAGGTCCTGTTGGTGTGTTCAAGGTAACACATTTTGTGGACAAGGACCTCTTTTTTCTGAATGTCTGCACATGCCCTGGTTTAGCAAGGTTCATACCATAGAGCCTGCTGCAGGAATAAGGATCTCGCAATTTGATAGGGCCATAGGTCTCTCTTTACTGCACTTTACATACTCTCAAAAATAGTTAGAGTCAATGTTGAGGTCTGAGTTGAGAGAGCAGTCATCCTGAAAACTGCCCCACTGTCATCTCCAGTTGTGGATGCTCTCCCTCTTAAGTACAGTCTTCTCTTTTCCCCCTTGTTGTGAGTTGACCCGGATTGTTTTAAGGTCCCTTCTACTCCCTTCTATAGTCAACAGGAAAAAGAAAAGCTGTTGAAGTGGTTTAGGATTTTTAATCAGTGTCTTTCGCCCTCCCCCAAAAGCTTTTCTAGCTCTATTTGCCTTAAGGGAATAGGGGTTTTAATGAAGAAAAACAACTGGTTTTTGTAGTGATTTTAGAGCTGGTGAAGGTCCCTGAGTGCTTTTATTTATATGGAGATCAAGGACAAGTGCATCTTCCGTTTATGTTTATAGCCTGCTTGAGAATAAATACCCCCGATTTCACAAAGGCACTCTCTGGGCATCCTGTGAATGTGGTTCAAGCAGTAAGCAGTAGGAAGTTCCCTTTCATTTTCCCCAAGCCCCTGCTTTGCTGATTCACCTATGGGATGTATGGATTTGCTATTTCTTTAGCACTTGATTTGCAAACAGAGTACACAAATGTCATCAGTTCACTCCTGCCTCACAGCTTAAATACATCTTTCTTTCTGGACTTGGCTATGGCATTGGCTGGGTCATGTCTCAAGGTCCTTGATGCTCACTCCAGCTCTGATGGTGGTTTTGCAGATTCCCTTGCCTTGCAGTTCCCTGATGCAGTAAGAACTGTAGGAATATTGTCGCAGGCCATGCGCATTGCATGGTCCTCACCTTAACTAAGGAGAAGGAGCCAGGGTAAAGATTTCTCCTTCCTGCATGACTTTGCTTGGTTTAATGACACTGTGCTGATATCTCTGTCTTTCTCAGGCTTCTGGCGAATAATAAGAATTTAAAACCAGGTTATAATTCTTGCTTTTGTAATTTCTTGCTGCTCTGTGGGTCTGGTGTAATTCATGGCCCTTCCCATTTGTGCTGCCTCATCTTAGGTGTAGCACAGTCTAAACCATTTTCTTTTCAAATCATGGGGTTCACCCTCACACCTCCTCCGGTGCCAGGAGCATCGGCCTTTGTCTTTATTTATCCAGTTATTATTAAAGTCTTCCTTTTTAAGCATTGTATATTTATTTTTGCTCAAAATGCACCATTTTCCATCTGCATAAAGCGACTTGAAAATTTTCACAGGCTGTTTCAGCAAAGCTGGGAATAGCATTCTGTGGAGTCCTTCATAAAAAATTGAAGACTTGGTATATTAACATACATTGATTTATTCATAGTGTTTCATTACAAATAAGCGAGGATCCCATAATATCAGGAGAGGTTAGGAGAGCACCGGAGCACGTTACATTATATTGACAGCTCAGTGGAAATTGAGCTGCCTTTGGATTGAATTTGAAACGCAGGCAAGGAACTGGCTGGTAAATAAGTCATGAGTTTTACTTGCAGGTGTCTGTATGTCACCAGGGGGGCCGTGGGGAAGCATAATGGAGCTCAAGCATATTCCAGAGGTGAGCTTTCAGCCTGGAGTGCTCTGAAGGTGCGTTAGCTCCAGCCGCGTGTGTTTTCATGAGCAGCTCTCCAGGCCTGTAACCTGCTGGCTTGTTCTCTCAGGCAAAAACCAAGCACTGTGCCATGTGTAAACCTGCAGCCTGAGGCTCAGCATGGGGAGGGAGATGCTCTCTGAAGCTGAATTACGAATCAGAGAAGGGTTTGGTCTAAGGGCGTGATAATATTTATTTCATTTAAATTCATTTAGTTTCAGTGTATTCCCTTTTGCAAATGGGACAACTTCCCCAGACTTTGTTGTCATTCCCATTGTTTTCAGCAGCCTCAGGAGAAGACGATTTATGAGAGGAAAGAAAAAAACTTTATGGATAATGTGTCCGTGTCTCATCAATGTTTTCATGTGCTGGGGGGAGAGTTTTATGGAAGGTCTCATGGAAGTCCTTCCCCTTGTGCTGTGTGCTCTGGGTTGGCTGCAGAAGTTCTGAGCTTCGGAACCAAAAGCAGTTCTGTGTGTTTTTGTTGTAAATTGGCTCATGCTGAGGTTTTAGTGGAGAGAAGAAATTCGTTTTTCTCTAAGTAAAGCCTTGAAAAAATTGTCATGTTTGTTTGGCAGCGTCCAGATACAGAACTGCTCACTGGAGATGCTGAAGTTGCATCTGTCCTTGTATTTTCAGTGTCTAGTCTCCAGAGACAGCAAAATGGGGGAGCAAAGAAAGGCCAGCTGCAGCAGGCTCCTTATCTCCTGACCTTCCTTGTTCTTCATTTGCAGATCACATACAAGGCCGTTGGGTCTCTGGATCCCAGTGCTGACCTGTCCAGCCAAAGAGGGAAAGTCTTCAAGCTAAGGAATGAAACACATCACCTCTTTGTAGGATTATACCCAGGGACCACGTATTCATTCACCATCAAAGCCAGCACAGTCAAGGGCTTCGGGCCACCCATCACAACACGGATTGCAACCAAGATTTCAGGTACTGCTTTGGAGAGAAATAAAAAAGGACTTTCTAGGGCTTTGTTCTTTAGACCCGGAGCTGAACAGAAAGATCGTCAGCCTAGTGTCGCTACTGGTTTCATAGTGCAGGTCTTTAAACCAGCCACAATCCAGCCTCTCTGTTTGTTTGGGTTACAAATGCAGTGGTTAATTTGAGGATATCTTCTATATCTACGAACATCTTTATGGAGCATTTTAAATCAGAACCTTCATTAGTTCCCTGTAATAATTGTTGGTATTATCTGCGTGACTGAGGAAGCTCCTTCAATAATGTGGCTTTTCTTTTCAGAATGCACTGGAATGGATGTAATGAAGTATTTGAATTAATAGTGCAAGGAGCCTAAAAATAAAAGACAAAAGCTGGTTTTATGTTTCCTTTCTGAGCAAGGGCAGAGAGGAGCCTTGAGGTAGGCAGGCGAGTATATGGGAGGGATTAAAATCAGGAAGCATTGCAAAGAGAAGGTGCACGTGTATCTAGGAAAAAGAAAGGAAACTTAGGATGACTGTCAAAAAAAGATGGATAGGGTTAGAAATAATATTGGGCAGATATATGTAAACTTGAATTTTACCATTTAATTGTTAACATTAAGGTAGGTTCTCTAACAGAGTTTAAGACATGCATTTATTTTTAATACCTTGACTGTTATTTCAGTAAAGTCAAAAAAGAATGTTTGGGACATTCGGGACAATTGTAATGCTTGAAATTATGTCTGGGTACTATAGAAAAGAGTGCACAAGAGTCTGTTTCCCATTGCCCTATCTCAAAACTGGTTAATAAAAAAGAATTGTTAGCAGTAAATGACAGTGTAAATTGTAAGGCAGTAAAATATATCTGTTCCCTGCACTGGCCATCAGCAGGGTGTGAACACTGAACATTCAGTGCAAAAGGCCGTGGTCAGTCCTATATGATAAACTTGCTCCCAGAGGCATTACCCAAGGTTAGTTGGGAGAAGAATGATTTTTGGATTGACTGGGATGTCCTTGGAAGACTATTCTGAAATGAAAAGGCATATGTGCTGTAGCAGTGTGTGAGTGTATGTGTTTATGTGGGTGGACATGTTTGTTTATGTCCTAATCACAGTTAAATGGAAGAACTCGTGAGGATTTCTCCTTGGGCAGGACTGGGATCTGGTAAAACAGGCATTAAATTGATGAGCAGTGTTGGTAATGTAGAGAGAGCGCTGCCAACTGGAGTTTTAAAGAGGTACTACACAGCTGCTCCATGTTGAGTATGCAGGAAAATTACATCTTACTTCAGTGTCTTGTGACTAATACAGATCGATAAATGAATTATAGACTCACAGCCTGGTCTGTATTGGAAGGGAGCTTAAAGCTCCTCCAGCTCCAACCCCTGCCACGAACGGGGACCCCTTCCACTAGAGCAGCTTGCTCCAAGCCCCTGTGTCCAACCTGGCCTTGAACACTGCCAGGGATGGGGCAGCCACAGCTTCTCTGGGCACCCTGTGCCAGCGCCTCAGCACCCTCACAGGGAAGAGCTTCTGCCTAAGAGCTCAGCTCAGTCTCCCCTCTGGCAGGTTCAAGCCATTCTCCTTGGCCTGTCCCTACAGGCCCTTGTCCCAAGCCCCTCTCCAGGTTCCCTGCAGCCCCTTTAGGCACTGGAGCTGCTCTAAGGTCTCCCCTTCAGGAGCCTTCTCTTCTCCAGGCTGACCCAGCCCAGCTCTCTCATGCTCAGAGTTGTGCAGTTATGGTAATACCTTTAGCTAGTCAAGGCTTCCAAGACCTATGGTTTTGCATTTACTTTTTAATCATATGTGTCTGAAAGTAAGATTGTAAATGCTCTGCATTTACAGCAGGTAAATGTTTTACAGCAGGTAGCCTGTTTTACACAGAGGATAACTGAAGAGGTCAGAAGGAGTCACCCAAGCTAGCTGGTGTATCAGAGACAATTGCATGGCCCAGTGCGGTGCTGCAGTTAGCCTAGAAGAAGCTGCTTCAAAGGAGGATGATGAAGCCTGCAAAGGCAGAGCCCAGCCTGTTTCTGGTGCCCAGACTGGCTTTGCAGCCTGTTTGTACTATTGCATCGGCTGTAGCACCATCCGCTCTGGCCAGAGCAGGTGCTAACCAGTTCTTGTGGTGGCATCTCCAGCAGCTACAGTGATCTCTGGTACAGAAGACCACTGGTAACACGCATCTTCTTTAAATGACGCACACTGCTTCCCCTTGGTGCTGAGCACCTTGTTCAGAAAAATCCTCATTAAGGAACTGGCATTCATGCTGAACTCATTGCCAGCTTATTGACAGGGAAGTCGGTGGCTGAGCTGATAATAGCAACCACCATTCTTGACAGTTTTCAGGCATTTAGATAAAAATCCTGATTATAAACAGGATTACAGTAGAAAGCTCTGTGAGAGGATTAAAGAAGGGCTCCCCGCAATGCAGCTTGCCCTTGTGAGTTACAGATGAGCTAGCTGTGTGAATTCCTCTGTTTGCTCTGTACTTCAAAGCTATTTCAACAAAACTTGCATCTTTGGAATAAATTTGGTGCTGCTCTGATCTCGTGATCTCTTCAGTTCTTCCACAGCTGAAATTGCCCCAAACAGATGTCTGCTGCAAGGGAAGGAAGAAGGAATGTAATAATGTTTCCAAAGGGAAGCTACCCTACTTTCATGAAATGATCCTAATAGAAGATAACAAAGCAGAAGTAGAAACTAGACTTTGGCTAACGTGTGAATATTCAGTGGGTTGCTCTGCTGCTTTGGGGAGCACTGAGCACACTGTTGGAATTCTGCCTGGTGATTCAACATCACTAAAGCGCTGGGGTAAAATGTCATGGGTTGGAGTGCTAAAATAACCCGGCTAATTTGGGCTTCTCTCTTTTCATCTTTTGTGCTTCATAACACACCCTTCAGCTAATGAAGGAGATACAGTTTAAGTCTCTGTGTTAAAAACTTGAGTTGTGGGGGGCTAATCCAATGACCTAAACAGTGAGGAAGAGCCAGGTTTCCTGGGTGCTGTTCTTAGCTCTGCCATTGATTCCCTCATCCTAAGTGGCCTTTAATAATGTCCAGGCAGTTTCTTTCTTCCCCTTTAAAATCAAAGGAATGATCCCATCTCAAAGGATTATTAAATGTTAAAAATTCCAGGCAGGATTTTTGAAGCCATCTGGAAGATTCATGTGTGCGATTCCTGTTTAATTTTAATAGGAAGAGTGTACAAATATTTAAGCAATTTTGACAATTTTGGGCATAATATTGGGAAGCATTTTGATGTTTCATTTGAGAAATGTTAAACAGTCTCCAAGAGCTGTTACTATCATGTTGCCATCACTACCCAAGGCAGTAGCTGAGGTATAACTAACGTGTTGCTCTTTGTTCTGCTTTAGCACCATCAATGCCAGAGTACGACACAGACTCACCCCTGAATGAGACTGACACGACCATCACCGTCATGCTGAAGCCTGCTCAGTCCCGGGGTGCTCCTGTCAGGTAGGTCTTTCCCCTTCTCTTTTCACAGTTCTCCCCTCTCCTTCCTCCCCAGGCTTTGCTCACTTCTCTCTCATTCTTGCCTGATAATGTAACTGTGGAAAGCAAACGCTGGCTCAAAGGCCAACTCTGCTGTTGATTCTGCCTTTCACAGGCTCCTTTTATCAATGCCTCAACCTGCTTGCCTCCTGCTGTTAACCTCCAGGAAGGATGCTGATAGCCTTGCACGGGGTTATTACCCTTTCAGCATCACTTCAGATGCCTTTGCAGCACTGAAGTTACATTGGTATGTGCAGCTCTGTGCTGTGCTGCTGGGAATTCAGCATCACCATGAAAAGGTGGAGGAGGCTTCAGGCCTCCACCTCCTGCCCTCCCTCTTATGATGGAGTGGGCCTTTTTGTAAATATCATAGGAATGCGAGCATTATCTTCAATGCTTGTGGATGCTTTTGTCCAGATTCTGGATCTAAACACTCTCCGTATGTTATAATCAAGCTGTTGTTGCTGGGCTGGTTGTGGAATGAAGTAATCAGTCTGGTCCACAAAAGATGAACTCTGGTGTAGCGAGACTTTGCCAGTTGTAGGCAGCTTCCACTGGCAGAAAGGATTTAGGGCCAGGAAGCTGCACAGGCACCTGTGGAATAAAGCGGGGACCTTACCGAAAACATTTCTGGCTGTCTCTGGGCTTGGTCCTGTTCTTACTGGTGAGCTGCAGCAGTGGGGCACTCAACTGCAGATCACTGACTGGGGGAACATGACTCACAGAAGTGTCTTTCATTGTTCTCTTCCATCCAGGTGACTTTGTACATGGTGGAAGGCACCAGCACAAATGAACCCCTAAAGCTGGCACTGCCTTATCTGTCAGTGACAGAAGTACCAGTTGGTCATTCATCCTGCCAGTCTCCTCAGCTGAGAGCAGTAATTTGAATCACTTACAATAAAAGTGTCTGCTCTGCAGTGGAATCCAGCAGCCATCAGCTCCCTGGAGGCTCCTCAGGCTTTTACCTCCAGTTTTCACAGGAGACTTTTGAATTTTTTCCTATGGGTGGTATTTTAAAAGCCCAGAGACCCTTTCCAAGTGACTTGGGTTCCTAAACCCCACTGAGAGGTTCTTTGTGCTTTTGAAAGATGTCCCACAAAGTATTTGGGAGCAAATTACTCAGACGTGAACTACCTGTTCTAATGAAACTATGAGTTGGTGGCCTGCTGTCACAGCCCTCCCCCAGACTGCATTGATAGTTTCAAGCAAAAACTCTGCTCTCTCACACTTAGCACCATCCCTTTTTGACTGGTTCTGAATAATGTATTTTAAACTTTCCCTTGCAATCTCTGGTACTCCATATAAGCGAATTTAGGAGCCTATTTTCTGAGTCCTTTAGAGATGTTTTTCTGCTGGAAAAGAGCAGTAAAATCACACAGCTCTGTTTTGTTTTATTTCTTTATATGGGGGAACATTCTTATATCTCGTTTTACCACCTGCTGTGTTAAAAGTGTTGCTATTTTGTCTTTTTATTGAAAAGTCTTGTGGTTTTTCTCCAAGTCAATTTACCACCCTTTAACTGCATTCAGTGAGTAATGTCTTTCTCAGAAAATGCATCTGTTATAAAATATTTGGTAGAGATCTTTAGAAGTGTTCACTCTGGTTTCTTTAATTGCATCGTTGCCTGTTCTGCACAGGTTTGCAGAGAGTGCGGTATTTACATGCCACATCGAAGTGATAATGTTATTTCCTATTATGAGCTCATTTAATCGACTTATAGACATATATAGGAAAACCAGATTAGACAAGGGGGGAGCAAAGAAGAGAGGGTCTTGGGGTGAATTGTAGCTTTTTATGAACTTTTACAGCCTCAGAATGTGTGAATACCTTTCCCTGTAAACACAGAGACTGTTCTAAGTCTGGCCTCAACAAATCCGTTTTTTTCCACCTTAGATTTTCTTGACCTTTTCCCTTTTCTCTCAGCCTGTTCTTCACGCACTCCAATTTGTGTGAATTCTCTCCAAATACCACAGCCAAAAGCAGGTAGCATTCCCTCGGTAGCCTCAGTAGCACCCGACAGATTAGAATAGCGTACTGTGGAGTGCTCGTGACACTCGTACCACACAAGAAAGAGGTGTTTTTTCCTCCTCAGTGTGTTTTTTGTATTCCAGCTGAGATCCACTATATCCTCTTTGTGTTGTCTGGTTAGTCGTGCTGCCTTTTGCTTGTGTGTGATTTATTTCTCCTTCACAAGTATAGTATTTTCCGTTCATCTCTATTAAATATGATAAAACTGATTTTCAGAATGCTTTAAAATCCTGATACAAACTTCAGTGAGTTGGAGCCCCTCCTACAGGCTGCCCAGAGCAATGCTGGAGTCACCGTCCCTGGAAGTGTTCACACACTCTGTAGACAAGGCACTCAGTGACATGGGTTAGTTTTGGCCTTCACAGTGCTGGGGAACAGTTGGATTTGGTGATCTTAAAGGTCTTTTCCAACCTGGTTGATTCTATGATTCTTAGTCAGATGCCATCCACTGCTCAGTTACCAAAGGCATTAATGCAGACATAGATTGAAGACAAAAGACTGGGAAGTGTCCGTGTGCAGCAGTGAGGTGGTGCTGAGGTCACTGGAGGGGATCCCATGTGATGCAGCATCCGGGTAGGATGCCCATTCTCCTGGCCTCCCTTGTAGACACGACCGTGCTTTCCTACATACCCTTCCTGAGAGGGGTCTGCAAAGCTACTCGACATTAGTCTGAAATGGATTTTCCTCACACCTTCGTGTAAAACCTTCAATATTGAGATATTCCACTCTGCAGAAATAGGTCAACCCTTCATCTCATCAACTTGACGATTTCTGTTCTGCAGTACTCCAGGTTTTTAATATAATCCTTCCAAACTGTGAAGATGGAAATAATATCACTGTACAGTAATTATTCTTCATATTTCATCTCATATGCAGTGGGTGGTGGCTTGGAGTACATGTGGGGTGTGACTGTAGGCCAGTGTCCATACAGAGTCTTGTGGTGTTTCACTGTGCTGGGCTCTGAGCAGCATACAGATGGGGTAGGGGCTGAAAGATCATTTCTAGAGTAATAGTGGGGAATATTTGAAACAAGATTCATTGTCTCCCCATTCATCTGAAATGCAAGCATACAAAATGCACAGTCACTTTCGACATTAAGACATTTCTGATGTTCCCCAGAGCTCATGATAAATAACTTAAATGAGGTTCTTCAGAAAACTAATGATTATGATCTCAGCATTGCTAATGATCTATAGATAACAGTGAAGAGGCTTTCGTATAAACTAATAGGAATAATATACACTTAGATATTTTTTGAACTAGTTTGTCTTATTGCTGAAAGAATGATGCGTCAGCAAGCATAAATATTCTCCCTGGTGGCACAGGCATTCCATTCTTGCCTTTATTTTCCATGGTATAACCTGCAGAGCTTGATTCCACGTTGCCCTTTAAAAATAACTTTCAGGTGTTCTTGTATCAATCTAAAACCTGTGAATGGTGCTGTGATTGATTTGCTGAAGACTGACATTCATCTATAATAAATTCAGAAGAGGAAAGAAGAATGCAAGTGTTCTCAATCTTTACTCCTCAACCCTTTCCTCAAAAATCTCCAATGTGATTTTGAGGATAGTTCTGCCTTTTGAATCTGTTATTGTCAGGAGACCTGAGTCGGTCCTTCATAGATTATTCACATATGACATCTTTAGACCTCTATTTGAGAATTTATATCCCATTCACAACTTGAAAATACCACTGTGAGGGATTTTATCGACATGACATGTCCACTGGGCTGTTTTTTGTGAGTTGGATATTTGAAAGTCCACTTGGTATATTAACATGTGGTTGGTTCTGTCAATCCACCTATACTACTATTATGGAGAAAATCAAATTCCCAGAGCACGTATTAGTTTTGAGGATTTCAAAGTTTAAATAAATGCTCCACTTAGGGGTGATTTTTGAAGTTTGTCTGGTTTTGAGCTGGAGGAGACTGTAGGAGGGCATAAGAGAAGTCTGCAATTACTTTGTGTGGGGTTCAGACAATGGAGAACTTGTTTGTTGGGAAAGGAAGGATTTCATCTCTCTTACCTTCCTGCAGCTCTCTGAGGTGTAACAGTTAATAGTCTGTGCTGTTCTTTGTGTGTCTGCCTGCACACAGGTACAGCCTTTAGGCACCTGAGCCCTGTACTGTGCTAAAGAACAGTGTTATTAGCACAGAGATACTCAATCTTTGCACTTGCCTTTATGCATATTTGTTTGGGGATATATATTTTATATATATATATGCTGTGTAGGTTGAATGTTTAAGTGATTCTGGAGAAATGCATTCAGGTAACAGTCGTGCTGTGTATATGTGTGATGGTCAGGTACTTGTATTCGCTTTGGTGAGGAAGGATGGGAACGTTTATTAATATACATCTTAAAAGGAATTAATAAATCTGAATAGGTGAATGGGACTTTAAATATCTTAGATACATTTAGATGTGCTGAGCAAAGGTGAAACAGGTATTTTCATACTGATAGCCAGCCAGGAGGAGAAATTAATTTATACAGGCCAAGCTCCGTGTTACTCTTGAGTATTATCTTCTGATTCTTAGGATCCCAAGTATGAAATAAAGGAAATATTTGTGGTGTACATGATGCTAAAGAGATTAAGAGAAAACAGCTGTAGTATTGCTTAACAGAGGCCTAAGAACAGTGGGTTTTTTTTCTGGTTTTATGTTCAAGCTGTTCTCCAAGCAAGCAATCCTTTATAGTGTATCTGTACACTCCTGCATTCCTACATGTTGTAACAAATGAGAATTTCCTGTGACAAGGGCGAGTGGTGTCACTTCCATTTTATGTTGGAATACTGAGACTTTGACTAGGTAAAACTTGTCTTCCATGTCAGTCTGCAGCAAAGTAGAAACTGAGAACCTCTGGAGCCATAGGCTACAACTATGACTTCAGATAATGCTTATTATCTCCAGAAAGAATTATCTGCAGATAATTCTTTCTTT